TTAAATGTCAACGTATACACAATATGGAGCAACTTCACACACCACAATGTCCAAACTAACCAATTCATTTTCTATTGACTCACTTGCAGCCTGTGCTTACAACCAATTATAAATACACAACAACCTCAGTTAAAAGAGACAAAACTCCAACAATTATTATAAAGCCATTATCATTAAACATCCGCTTCTTATAGAATCAACAGTAACATAAAACCACGAAAATCTCCATAGCCAGAGGAGAGGCACTGTTTTATAAATAGAGTTTACCCACACACAATGCTACATTGATATACAGTGGTTGTCAACGTTTTTTCAGGAGAGTTCATAGACGTGTTGTGTTGTTGTACTCACGTCTGAACATCACTCTTCAAGTCTTCCTCACCGCGAATTATTCCTCAATCTTCTCCAGGATCAACTTCTCAGCCATATCAAGGTAAAGTCCCTCAGTAAACGCATAATTAAGTCACTTGAATAATCCACCATTAGCATGTTAGCATTTCAGCTACACATACACCTGTTGCTGCATTTGGGTCAATTAGCATGCTAGCCAGTTGGTAAACATACAGTATCAGTGATTAATTAAAGAAGATTAGCCATACAAAGGTAAACCAAAATGATGCTAACCAAAACACGTGGTCCTTCATTTCATGTAATTGGTGTGTATTTGTTTGTAGGCTAACTGCCCAGCTGTGTCACTGTCACCATCAAACATTAGCCTTCTTCTTTTTTTTTCTCAAAAACTTTATTTACAACTATGGTAGGCTAAATTATACAGAAATCACTATAGCAGCATTACTATTCCAGAGTACCTTAATTTCAAGTAATTTAAGAGTTAATACATGATACGTATGTATTAAAGGTGAGTAGTTTTTGTTTGGTTCTTCAACTTCGTCTTGAGTTAGATTAGGGGTTGTGGAATATAATAGGCTAATATATATTGCTATCCACCCCATAGAAAACACACTTAAAACTTCTGTTTGAATAACTTCAGATCCTATGTATTAGCTCTGCTATTAATCCTGCAGACCTGTTAGTAATCCGCCTTAATTAGTCCCACTCTCTACACCTGAGTCTCTTTTACACGAAGCAATTATTACATGTCATTTGTTAGACGCTTGTATCCAAAGCGACTTACATACATTCAGTACTGTGGACAATCCCCACAGGAGCAATTTGAGGTGAAGTGCCTTGCCCAGGCAGGGACACAACGACATGCTGACTGCAGTGGGACTCGAACTTGCTACCTTCTGATTCGAAGTCTCGGCCAAGCTCCTAAAAAATTATATAATGCACCGCTTCTAAAAGAGTAAATGTTTTTAGTATAGTATAGTATTCATTGTTAGACATTGCCATGCCATACACGTATCTCAGCTTGATTAGATTGGAAAAGCATACAAAGACAAAGTATTACCTTGAAGTTGGGCAATAATGTCATTAAAACTGCATAGGAGAGTCTTTAAGTAAATGCTGTACTTTTTGGGGACTTTGTGGTACATGGACAACAGATGAGAATTAGACTAAGTTAGGGTTATATGTGGCCATTTGTGATTAATGCTAGGGAGTTTGTTACCCTGGAAAATCTAACTGTGTCATTGACAGTCTGATGAGTAAAGGGCTGTTGGATGAAAACGCTGCACGTTAAAAATAAAGTGATAAATTATTCTGTCACTATAGATGATGAACTCTGGGGTGATTTGATTAATTGAGCTATTTTTATGAATGTAACTACTCTTGTCATTTATCACTTCAAAATCCTCATTTATCACATAACTAATTAAGCTCTATCTTCATATCTTAAGAAAGTGCAGTTTTTAAACTTAACTAAGTAAACTTTGTAGTCATGATGTGTCATTATTTTTGTGAAATGAACTTTATATATGTTGTAATCTCTGTCAAACAAACAACATTTTAAAGAAAAACTCCTGAGGGGTAGGATTAGGGTTAGGGGTAGAGTTAGGGTTAGGGTTAGGGTAATGTTGTGAATTGAGTGGCCCATGGTGGTGGTGGGGTTATGGTATGGGCAGGCGTATGTTATGGATGACGAACACAGATCACTCAATTCACAACATTACCCTAACCCTAACCCTACCCCTAACCCTAATCCTACCCCTCACACCAGATACTGACTTGTTTTCGGACCCCCCCAGACCCCCCAAATAAAGGAAAACTGCACGTTTCAGAGTGGCCTTTTATTGTGGCACCTGTGCAATAATCATGCTGTCTAATCAGCATCTTGATATGCCACACCTGTGAGGTGGGATGGATTATCTCGGCAAAGGAGAAGTGCTCACTATCACAGATCTTTTCAGATTTGTGAACAATATTTGAGAGAAATGGTTATTTTGTGTTTATAGAAAATGTTTTAGATCTTTGAGTTCATCTCATGAAAAATGGGAGCAAAAACAAAAGTGTTGCGTTTATATTTTTGTTCAGTGTACATCAGAGTGTGATAACAAAGGGAGGGATGTGTGGATGTTGGGTGTGTGCACTGAGAGTGGGAGGGACACTTTGAGTTTCAGGAAGAGAGCAGCACCTGTCGGAGTGAGACTCACAGCAGAGTGAAGGACTGCACTGCTCCACGTCACAGGAAAACATGCAGAGTAAGTTCTACCTAATATTACATGTTTTTAACTCTTCTTTACACGTGGCATGTCTTGAGTGTACGTTTATTAACAGTTTATATAGAGGTTGTCCCATAGAAGAGTCGCAAACAGACATATATCTCGGTGTTTGATTTGTTACGGACATTTTCAACAATAATAAGTCACCACTAGTTAAATAGTAACAAACCAGAGCAAATGTTTACTTGGACAAAGATGTACCCTGTGTTATTTTGTACAATTATTATTAAATGTCTGTAAAGCTAAGCATGTGTTTGCTTGTGTTATTTAGCTGGCTTAATGTCCTGAAATGATGCTACATTAGTCATAAAAATGTGTCTTTTTTATCAGCGGCACAAATACTAAAAATAAACATTACGGTTGACAAATGTAATATAAAATAAATCTTACAAATATTCCCATCACTGAATACTGATGTTAAATAAAGTCAAGCCTTTTAAAACCTAATTAAAAATGCCATCAGCAGTTGTTGGATTTGTGTTTTCTTTTAAACCTGAAGCAGGTGCTGTGAGGCAGCAGGTCCTGAGTTTCTGCATTCCTCAGATAGCTACTCTCTTACCACAGGACAGAGTGACGCTCTTAAATATACTTCCTGCTCGAGTAGAACAGCCTTGTGTTCACTGGTGCTGAATATAAACGGTTTTCTCTGCTCCTCTGTGGCTCTTAAAGATCAAACTCATAGTGCCAAGGGGACAATAACACTGACCTTTGACTCTGGAGTGAGATTAAGGGTAACAAGGCCATTTCTCTCTCTGGGAAAGAGTTTTACTTTAGTCATTTGTCATTGATACTGTTGGGGTTTAACTCATGGTTCCCATCCAATATCAGGATAGTGCACAAAACCCAACCAATGGTTTTTAGTCAAATATTAAACCTAGTCATCAGTAAGTGCAATAGCTATGCTGTCCTGGAATCCCCTCTGAGGCAGTTTCACAGCAATTCACACTTCTTCTCTCATGCCCCTGACATGCATGACTCGTACATGACATGAAAGGCGTGAACGACCCTCTTGTGCTGGTGGCGAAAAAGCACAAAAAGATCCAAAGGTAGTATTTCTACATATATTGTTTGTAAGAGTGCTGGAAATCTTTGCAAACACAGGTTGGAAAGGAGGTTCATTTTGTAGCGTGAAACCTTGTTGTGTTTTCCTTTTGTCACCCTTGTGTAGGACTCTGTAAAGAAACACCATTTTGGATTTGAATAGCACAATAACTATATGTTATTTAGTGTACTTTATATGTAGTCTATAACAGCTGTATGGCATTGAAAATTCTCCTTGAAAAGTGGTGGAATTTCACCCTGGAAAAACCCTCCATACAGTTATAAGGATTTTAGCAGATAGGACTCTGGTCAAATTACTTTACCCAAATTGACAACATCCTAAATATTGTAACCATACTTGGACTTTAAAAGCAATGACTTGTGTATTTTGACCTAAATACATTTCTACAATCCCAATAATTTAAAAAGTGTGTTACGTATCCACTTACATTAGTGCTATTTAACCCACAAGTCAACCTTCATTTGCAAGAACCACTTTATTTGCCCGAATCCAAACAGTATCCATCATGTTATAAAAACACTCAATAAGGCACAAAAATAATTAGACCAATTATAACTTAGCTCACTTACAAAACTATGTGTGTCAACAAAATAGTTAGTGTACTCATTTTTGATTGCATTACATTATTGTGTTCATATTCTGTTCTTCTACATATCATATTCTGTACATAGACTTTTTCCACTACTTTTTATTTTGTATTTTTGTATTTGATTATATACGTTGTTGGAGGAGCTCAGGTCAGAAGATGTTCATTGCCATTTCTACACTGTAGCTTTGTGCATATGACAATACAACCTTTGAATCTTTGAATCAAAACAGGCTGGTTTGAAATTGGGGAAGAGGGCATTTGAACTTGTTTAGAATCAGAATACCTTTATGAGTCCCACAGAGGGCAACCGTACGTTGTTACAGCAGAAGCATAGCCAAAGACAGCTTAATGTTGTCTCACAAAAACTCACCTCTTCAATCTGGCTTTTAATGTGATTGTTTTTGTATTGCTTGATTTTAATTTGACTTCAAATATATTTATTCGTTGTTCTTTTATTTTCACTATCTCTGTAAAACGACTTTGAGCACCTGTAAAAGCGCTTATAAAATAAATCTATTATTATTAATGTTACGTAGAAGCATGCATAAAAAAGTATTGAAATAAAAATAATAAAAAAGTTATACAATTTACAAAATACACATCCTGTAACAGTTCTTAGGATTTAGCAGCCAGGTTTATATTGCACAGTTATTAACGGCATTTATATATATAGCACATATGGCACATAGTTGGTTGGTATTTAACAGCAAGGGGTGTTATAGTCTGTGTAAGGGACTCGCCTCCCTTATGGGGACAAATTGGAGGTCCCCATGAGGGGAATCATTAATTTTAGGGTGAAGACTTGGTTAGGATTAGGGTTAGGGTTAGGGTTAGGCATGTGTTGGTTATGGTTAAGGTTAGGATAAGTCTCCAGGAAATGCATGTAAGTCAATGTAATGTCCCCTAAAGTGATGTATACATGGTATGTGTGTGTGTGTGTGGGGGGGGGGGGTTGGGGGCTCTCCTACTTTAGGACTCGAAACTCAAAGTTTAGGAACTGGGACTTGACTCAGGACTTGTTCATCTCTGGCATTATAACATTAACATTAAGCTGTGTATTTGTCTGCTGTAACAACGTACATGTCCCCTCTGTGGGACTAATAAAGGTATTCTGATTCTGATTTTACCCAAGCTTTGTGCATCTAATCACGTCCCTCCTCCCATTGGTCCTCCTCCCTGCAGGCCCTCAGTCTCCAAGCCTCGGCCGGGCGCTCTCTGAGGACCAGTTCAGCTGCTCCATCTGTCTGGAGGTGTTCGTGGAGCCCGTCACCACGCCATGCGGCCACAGCTTCTGCAAGGCCTGCCTGCTGGGCTACTGGACGCACAGCAAGAAGTTCACGTGCCCCATGTGCAAGAAGAGCTACAGCAGACGACCCGAGATGAGCGTCAACAGGGTCCTGGCCGAAATCTCCTCCCAGTTCCAGGGGCTGATGCTGGCCGGAGGATCTGGAGGAGCTGGAGGATCAGGGGGATCTTCGCGGGGATCCACCCTGAATCTGAGCTCAGATACGAGCCACGGCAGCCCCAGCAACACCGACAACGGGGAGTTTGCCCGGGCGGGGGAGGTTCCCTGCGACGCCTGCATCGGGAGGAAGGTGAAGGCACTGAAGTCGTGTTTGAACTGTCCTGGATCGTTCTGCGAAGTCCACCTCAGACATCATAAAAAGGTCTGTTTTTTTGCTTCTTTAGGATTATGGCACTTGTACATTTCTCTTGGTTTTCATTAGCGATGCCTCTTTGTTTCTTTTGTTGTTGTTATCTGATTATTCAGTTTCCCACTTTATTCATGTACTTGAACCTAAAAGTTGACAGTAATCCCATTCAATGTCTTTTGTTGGAGCTTCTAAATCATCTATTACTTATTCTACATGTATATATTTTAAATAGTCAAAGAAAAATGCATTCTAGGGTTACCTTTACACATGTTTTGCTAAAAATGTGTGTGCGGTAATACTCTTTTTGTATTTATTTTGTGTTCACGACTCTCTTTCTCTTTAAACTAATTCCTAGGTGAAGTCTCTGACGTCTCACCGTCTGATCGAACCCACTTTCCACCTGGAGGAGAAGATCTGCAAGAAACACGAGCGTCTCCTGGAGATCTACTGCCGCAGCGACCACACCTGCATCTGCACGGCCTGCGCAGAGGCCTCGCACAAATCACACGACCTCGTCTCCGCTGAGCACGAGTGGAAGAAGAAGATGGTGAGCTGTAGCTAAAGATTCTGAAGTAACGATAAGGGACAAACAATCACCAAAACTAAAAAGAAAAACAACAACTAGTGTACTTTTTGATTGATTGAATGGCTTTATGTCTATGGATTTAGATTCTCCTGCCATATGTGTTGATATTAATTCCACTTCTCCACAATTCTCTTCCTGCAGAGTAATCTGGGAAAGAAGAGGTCGGAGCTCAAACATTTGATCAAGGAGAGAACCAAGAAACTGGACGAAATCAAACAATCCATCAAGGTCATCAAGGTGAGTCGGCTGAGGGCTAACAACGATCTCTCTCTAACTGTGTGTCGTCAGACCATCAGACAGTTCTGGTGTCAATGTTCAACTCTTTTAAGTGTAAGACCAGTGGGAGCAGCAGCTATTCTGACAATGTGTGTACCGTAGCCCCAATTTGATCACATCCAGAAAGATAATAGAAGGCAAAACAACTGATTTCAAGTTTGAATTTGAAGACATTTATTGTTTAAATGTTAAGCCTTTTGACATACATCATAGAAAACGTGCAACACAAAGAACAAAAACATGACACACTGTGAACCAATCAATGGCAAAAGCATTGTCACATTGTGAATTCATAATCAACAGGGTTCTTACGGTCATTACAAACCTGGAAACGTCATGGAAATTCAAAATGCTAATTCCAGGCCCTGGGAAAGTTATGGAAAACAATATTTTCCCCAAGGTTTTGGAAAAGTCATGTAACTAAAGTTGCATCAAATATAATTTATATTTGATCTAATCGCCGAAATAGTGATACTATAATGATAATAAATACTGTATCGTATCGTAATGAAACGTAAAATGGCATTTAACTGACGAGGTGTTTTGCTGGGGAGAGATTTTAGTTGCGTTAGCGTGTAGAAGCTAGTAAGCCTATTTGATTTGTTTTAGATAGGCACGACATGTTTCATATGCAGACCTTATTTCCTGTTCCATGTTCAAATAAACCATTTTCAGTGGAACGCTGAGAAAGAGTCATTTCTTTGGTCATGGAAAACGAGGTAAAGGTCTTGGAGAAGTCATTGAAAACTAGGTAAAGGTCATGGAGAAGTCATTGAAAATCATTGGTGAAAAAGTGTATGGACCCTGAATCAACTGTACATGATCCTAGTGAAAGGCAGCTTTAAAATGTTTTTTGCAAATGTAGGGGAAACCGAATCCTTTGGAGACAGCACATTTAGAGCCACAGACATATTACCATGATGGGTACACAGTACATGTAAATGGACATTTCAAAAGAAGTGCATTTAGTAACATTACAAGTAAAACATTGGACTTATAGCTATAGGATTCACTATAACAGCTAATCCAAAATAGGTAACAACAATTGTGTGACAGTTTAGCTTCTCACATTGACCCCTCTTACATCTCATCTCATCTGAATATGCCTGCATGTCTTATAAAGGATGGCACTGACTGACTTGTAAATCAGTCATTTGAGCCGTTTTAAAGCTGCATGTCTTGTGTTTTAACTCTGTCGCTTCCCGTCTCGCCCTGCATGTTAAATATTAACCCAGGTAGCGAGGTAAAGCTTCATTTGCACTTCAAGAACAGTCTGATCCAGAAAAGCATAGAGAATGTGAGGAAACTCAGCTGTTGAAGGGCTAATGTTTCAGTTAAAGATACCATACTGTAGATCAGGCCTATTCAAATGGCGGCCCGCGGGCCAGATGCGGCCCAGAACCAACTCCCGAGTGGCCCAGCTAGCCTCCCGTCGCCAAATTCCTACACTAGTACAGACCATGAACGCAACACTCCGCGTTGCATAGAAACCACTAAACCACAACGCAGCACGTTTTTTGAAAGTGCATCTAGTGGTGCTAGTAACGGTGGTCCTATGATAGCAACTCTAAAACATGTCTCTCTCAACTCTGAAGCGTAAACAGAGACAACCCGGTCATTGATCTTGTGGAGCAGATGCGTGCATTCCAAGTCAAGCTGCCGCTGGACCTTTTCGCGACCGACTTGAGTACGGGTCAGATGCTGCATTTTCCGACGCTCCTCAAACACATCACATCCCCGGCACAAATCACGGATGTGATGACAGATTTCATTGCGAGGTTGAAAGAGAACTTTGCCGGTCGATTGGATGGACTTGCTCTGCCCACAGAGGTGATGCCAGAGACCCCTTCACTGTTGCAATAGAGGGGGACGTATCAACCAGAGCAAAGGAAGTGGTCCCCTCCATCGACGAGGGGACATTTACACTGGAACTTATTGACATGCATTCATCCGTAACCATGGCACAAGAGCAGCGCACTAACGGGCCAGCGAAGTTTTGGAGTGATGTCAAAAAACAGCAGTTCCCTAAAGTTCAGAAAGTAGCGATCTGTGTGCTCAGTATGTTTGGATCAACATACAAATGTGAATCAAGCTTTTCACACATGAACTCAATCAAAAGTAGCACTCGCTGCTCCCTGACTGATAGCAGTCTTCACCAATGTTTTAGGATTGCATTGACATCCTATGAGCCAAACATCACTGCTCTTGTTCAAAACAAAAAATGTCACATTGAGAAAGTCAGCGATGACAAATCACAAATGAGGTGATAGTAAGCACCTAGTTTACTATAGTAGACGTGTAGTGTAGTATTCATTCATATGTTAGTTACCATTATCCCTTGTTATGGGTTTGTGCACTGAAGGGTTTGACAGTTATTTCTGTATTAATTTAAATGCACTTTGTAATGTGCCTGGGTGAAATGTGACCAAAACGTATGATTTTTTTTGTTATTACTTGAAAAGTGAAAAAATACCTAAAATAGTATAGGTAGCCTACTACCTCTTTTTGTTACATTGGAGCTCTTTAACTGTTTGCATGTGTCATTATGTATTCAATTTTATTTTTGTATGTGAGGACATTTATTAAGACTGCTATTATTGTATTCAGTTAAATGCACTTTGTGATGTGCCTGGTTAATAAAGAAAACAAATGTAATGCTACAACTGCACTTTTTTCAGATTCTGTTAAATTAATGCTAATTTGTTGTGTTTTTATGCACTTTTTGACGTGCCTTTGTTAGATGAACAATGAATAAAAATGGCATGTTTTTCATCGCAGTAATATGTGTTGGTTTAAAATGTGTCATTACCCGCTTTTTACAGGCCGCTGAATGTCTGGCCCAGCTGAATTTTGTAGTTATAAAATCTGGCCCAACTGAATGTGTAATTGAATAGCCCTGCTGTAGATCGATATCTTCTCGTGCTCTGTGGAGACAACAGGAGAATGCAGTTTGTTTTCCTCTGGCGGCATCCATGTCTCAGGCCATCCAACCGATGCTTCCAGAGTAAATAGTTACCTTCTAGTTTCCCACCCCCTGTACGTACCTGCTGCCTGATTCAAGTACAACTCGCCTCAATAGGGAGAAATGAAAGTGTTACATAATCAAGTGCTTTGTTCACACAAGTGAAACGAGTTGAAGGAGATTTTGAATTAGCATAGACGCACATGTTGAGTGTTGTTCTTGGTTTCCTGCTTGGTGACATTTGAATATACTTTTATAAATACAATGAGGCTCATGTTACCACAGGGTGTGTGTGTGTGTGTGTGTGTGTGTGTGTGTGTGTGTGTGTGTGTGTGTGTGTGTGTGTGTGTGTGTGTGTGTGGCCTAGCATTACTATACTTGTGGGGACCTAAATCTGTTTACACAGTCACGTGTGGGGACTCGCCTCCCTTATGGGGACAAATTGGAGGTCCCCATGAGGGGAATCATTAATTTTAAGGTGAAGACTTGGTTAGGGTTAGTGTAAGGGTAAGGGTTAGGGTTAGGGTTAGGCATGTGTTGGTTATGGTTAAGGTTAAGATAAGTCTCCAGGAAATGCATGTAAGTCAATGTAATGTCCCCTGAAGTGATGTATACATGGTATGTGTGTGTGTGTGTGTGTGTGTGTGTGTGTGTACTTACTTACTGTATAGACTTTCAGATAAAACCAATTATACTGTACTCACTGGATTCTTTAAATTATTGGAGAGGTGTCATACCTAAGTGAGCAAAAAGGCCCTTACGTATACATGCTCCTCTTCATACACTTTTATTACAGTAGTAGTGTGTATTGTTTAGGAAATAAAAAACAGGAAATGGAGAATACAATTCAAACCTTTGCAGGGTAAGATTGAGACACAATGATTGGCAGTTTCCTTCGTTTGGCGGGGGGAAACGTAACCTGTTGGTCCAGTTTTAGAGGCGGCAAGCAGACACTCAGGAAAGGCTGCATGCTAAAGGAGCTGTGATTACTGAAACTGCAGGTTTAACAGGGTTGAACTGTAATTGGTTTTAATGGTTTGTTTTAGGCTAACCCTGTCATTTACAGATATGGGAAGAATGTAGACAACAAAAGCTTTAAGGCGAGGTAGGATTAGACGGACACAATACAAATATGAACATGGAAATTAGCATAATGGGCCCCTTTAAGTCTATCGAACAGATTGTACTCCAGAAAGTGCGCCATCCTATGTTTCCCACAATGCAACCCTTCTTTCTTTTTTTTTACATTAAACCCTTTCTGGTTGACCTAAAGTTTGCAATGCACACTTTCTAGTAGATATTCAAGTCAAATCTAAACAAAAATCTTGACATCATTGGGATTCTTTTCTAAGTCTTCAGAAATCTCATTCAGAGCCACAGAAGAAAGTACAGTATTTTGAGGAGACTTAATCTATCCACATTCCTCTCCTTCATGTCCCCTCCTTTGCAGGCCAGCTCTCAGAAGGAGTTGGAGGAGAGCTGGCAGGTGTACGCTGAGCTGCAGCGCCTGGTGGAGCAGAGTCAGGCGGAGTTGGTGGAGCTGATCGCTAAGAGGCAGCGCGAGGGCGAGCGCCACGCGCAGGAGCTGGCCCGAGGTCTGGAGAACGAGCTGAGCCAGCTGAGGAGCCGCAGCAACGAGCTGGAGGCGTACGCTCACACCCAGGACAAAGTGCTCTTCCTGCAGGTGGGTGACGCTATCAGGTGACACGCGGCAGCCATGTTGGTAAAGCTCGTTATCATCTTTTATTTAAAGAGACTCTTGGTCCATTATTACAAAAAATATACAACACTCAAATATAAATTAAAAAAGGCAGTTATACCAATGTTTCCACAGAGGTGACTGGTATCGTACAGCACTGAAACACGGATTTGACAGCAGCATAATGACAGAGTTATGAGAAACATTCAATCGACAGATGAATTTGTACATTCGATTTCTCAAAAGAGCATGGAACGTGTTGACTCGTGCGTTACAGAACATTTCACTTGCACTGCACCACCTTGGTTTTCTAAGCAGTATACGCAAACAGTCATTATATGCAACCTGGAGCTTCTTGAGGCTTGCCTTCTTATACTTGACCCACAAGGGGGCAGTATAGAGAGGAGTGCAATAAGCTCTAAAGAGGTTCACCTTAACCTTATCTGAACACCAAGAGAATTTTCTAGCCAACATGTTGGCTTGCATATATAAGACACGCCGCTGTCTATACATGTCATCATCATCAGCCATTTCATCTGTGATGATGTGTCCCAGATACTTAGTGTCACAGCAAACAGACAGCACCTGCCCTGACAGGTAGAATGTTGGAAAACAAAGGTTCTTATCCCCTTTTGCAGTGCAGATCATTACAGCGCTCTTCTTAGCATTGTATTTAACGTCAAATTTGACTCCGTAATCAGAACAAACATTTAGCAACTGTTGAAAACCAGCACTGCTAGGAGAAACAATAGCCAGATCATCGGCATACATAAGATGGTTTACAATCACATTACCAATCACACACCCTGTTTTACAGACACTTAAATCATCTGATAGATCATTCATATAGATATTAAAAAGGCATGGTGAGAGGAGCCCCCCCTGGCGGACTCCATTACCAACACCAAATGGCGCAGAGACTGCATTCCCCCATTTGATCCGCATGCTCTGGTTGGCATACCAATAAGCCAGGATCCTAATTATGCTGTTAGGCACACCCCTTTGTCTCAATTTTAAAAACAGTTTATGGTGGTTAACTCGGTCAAAAGCCTTAGAGGCATCAATGAAACCAATCAGAACAGTGGAATTCTGTCTTCTATATGTTTCTACCATTTCCTTCAAAGCATAGATGCATAGCTCAGTGCCATGCTTAGCCTTGAAGCCAAACTGGTTACCTGAGGTACATAAATAGTAACATAGTCTATCTAACAAAATTATTTCCAAGACTTTGGATAACACACTGGCTAGAGCAATTGGTCTATAGTTATCCAAGCTCCCTACCTTGCCCGCTTTGTCCTTAATGACAGGCACCAAAGTAACAGTCAACATGGAGTCTGGCAACATACCATGAGTCATGAGGCCGGTAAAACAAATGGCAAGAAGAACTGCAACCTTCGGGCTTGCCAGTTTAAGGTGCTCTGCAGTGATTCGGTCAGAGCCGCATGCTTTATTATCAGCTAGCTGTGCAATTGCTCGATAAACCTCTTTAGCTGTAATTCCCACTGTGTCACTCTTCACAACATCACCAACTTTGTAGGGGTCACTTTTAACACAATTAAGTATATTAGAGTAATGTTGCCTCCACAACTCAGCTATGTTATCGGCTCCAGATACTCCCTCTATGGTACACGGTAATGACGTACTGGCCCTGTTCAGAGCTCTCACCTCCTTCCAGAAGCCAGTCACATCATTATGAAGCAGCTTTTCAGCCATAGAGTCCGCTCTCAATGTTTCTGTGTGTTTGTTGACATAACGAACTGCATATTTATATCTAGCATTTGTACGCTTTTTGAGATCCAGGACAGGCCCCTCTCTGGGCCTACCTGCCTGGACCCAGGCCCCAAAAGCATTCTTGGCTTCAGTATATTGATCAGCCACATGTTTATTCCACCCTGGCTTGACGTTGTGTCTCTTCCTAGAGTAGGTACAGCACGGTCTACTGGCCTCCCATACAGCTCCCACAATACAATCATACATGTTACAGAGGTCTTCACGGTGAGAGTTTTCATTACAACCCACATCAACACACAGAGTTGCCACTTTGGGTAGATATACATCACTCAATAGGACATCAGTTCTCCCATAGTACAATAGCCTATCCTCATTTGTGAGCTTGGACCAATCCACTTTAGTGTTACAGGCATTTTTAACCTCCTGAGACATCTCAGGGAGACTATCATAATCTAGTGACATTATAAAAGGAATGTGATCTGACATTGATGCCTCATACACAATCTCGATTGATCTTACAGTGTCATGGGCATTAGCAGTGCTTATGCAATGGTCAAGCCATGAAGTTGTATGCCAGGCCTCGCTTATATATGAATAGCTATCTGTAGGCAGAAGTATTTGGCTTGATAATATAAGATTGTTATCATCACAAAACTGTAGCATATGCTTAGCAAACAAGGACCTTTTGTCTGATATGTCAGCATTCATATCACCCACTACAAAAACACTGGTGGAATGATTATCAGCAATAAAATAATGTATAAAAGCAAGTCTGTTCAGGTATTCATCTTCATTATGCTGTGACTCATATGGTGTATATACATTGAGAATGCTAAACTCCTTGTTATTCATTTTGATCTGTACAGCAATACACCAGTCAACTTCAAGCCTGATGACATTAATGACAGTGTCCAGCTTTTTGTGCCACAGGATAGCCACGCCCCCTGCTATCCTTCCTCTCACTATTCCCAGAGAGAGGTCCGTAGTGGACTCACCAGCCCCGTGAAAATTGTCATTAAGAGAGTTCAACTTTCCCAAGTCCTGCTTTGGTAAGAAAGTTTCTTGCAAGCATAAAATGTCACATTTTTGTAGCAAGTTGTCCACCACTACACGTCGGATCCTATCAGCAGCGCTGTTGCCCAGGCGCAGCCCGCGACAGTTAAATGATCCAACCCGCATAACGTTTAGCTAAGCAGCTCAGCCGTAGCCCCATTCAGTACCCTCGCACCAGCAAAAGGTCTAGCTCTGCTAGCCCCTATCACCACCTCCGCTTTACGTGGTTCATAGTATCTTCTCACAACTGAGCCTTCAGGCCAGAGTTCTGGGTTAAACATCTCCGCAACTTCATTGCACTCAGCACACACTTTAAACGAGCTATATCTGCTGCTTGCAGTGTCAATACGGTGACAGTTAACATCACGGCCGAGTTGTTCAGTTAGATATTCGGACAGTGTCTCAGCATCAAGGTCTGGCGAGAATTTGGTAGCAAAAACACTCACCAACTTCGTACGGATCACTTTGATATTCCCTTGTGCAGCAGTGCCAACAATAGGCTTAGGCATCCTCCGTTCAGGTTTCCCAACAAGCTGTTTTGATAAGGCAGACTTGCCCTCGGCCCTATTCCTTCGACCTCGGCCCTGTTTCACAACTTGACTCCATACCTGCGAATTTACCGCAGTTCCTCCAGGGCTCACACAGGCACTCACGGTCCCTGACGCAGCGAGCGGGTCAACACAGTTGGGATGTACTACATCAGTAGAAGAGCCGGGGGGGCTCGCATCCTTCACCAACACCGCACCATCACCCTGAGCGATCCCACAGGTAGTTTCAGCGTCACTTGGTACAGCCAGTCCTCCACCATGACTCGGCTCCAACTGGCGTTCTACGGCAGCAACTCTGCTGTCCATGGTCGCAGCCACAGCACGCAGGTCCTCACCGATATCTGCCTGAACTTCCACTACGTGTCTTAATGCGCAAACCTCGCTGTGCAGTCGCTCCATCTTGCTCAGCAGGTTGGACACATCCAGGTTGTTAAACGTAACAGGCGGCAGCTCATCCAGGTAGTGGGAGACAAAACGGGGGATGTTTTCACCGCATTCATTTAGCACTTTTAGGCAGCTTTTAATATTGTTTGCATCCTTCTGGTTGCCTTTAAAGGCCACACACCGCTGCTTGGTTTCAGGACAGAGTTCAAACAACGTCTTTTTAGAAGTCTCGATCCATTCGGAATCGAAGGTGTTAGAGGCTACAAGGACTAGCTCGTCCTGGGTCATAGTTTTAATTTTAACCGCCAGGAAGTTGAGTAACTCATCCTCTACAATAACTAGGCCGTCAACAGTCTTATATATTGTAGGTTTTAGTCGAGGCCGGTGGTTTGAATCGGGAGCTACCGAGCCATAACACACACCATCAGCCATCTTGAATCTTCCACGCAAACCAAAGTTAACTATGACCTAACCTATTTCTCATCGTTAGAAACAAACGACCTGAAGATTGGGCGGTGGTGGCGAAGTTGATAGGGACTTGGCTTGGCAACTGGAAGGTCACCAGTTCAAGTCCCGGCAAGACCAAGTGCTACCGAGGTGTGCAAGGCACCGTTCCCCACACTGCTCCCCGGGCGCCGTTCAAAATGGCAGCACACTGCTCCTAACACAGGATGGGTCAAATGCAGAGAAACAATTTCCCCACGAGGGATTAATAAAAGTCCATCTTATGATGCTTTTTTTTTGCAGACATAGCACTTTCAGTACATTATATAAAGTACAGGACAATTTGTCTGTTAAAGGAAAGAAAAATACCCATTCCCGTTGTTGTTATTTTCATATTCAGATGAACTCATTTCAAATGTTAAATCATTTCTGAAACATTTGTCGGTCACATTTTCTTTGTTGTTTTTAAACACAGGAAATAAGGCAGAATGCTCAAATGTTCACCTCGTCTTCATCTTTTGGTGTAGCTCTTCCATTCCTTTCACTACTAATGATGATCAATATTTAAAATCAGGACCACGCTGCAACTGACATTTTAAAAATGCATGCTGGCACATTGAGCGATACTTCAGTCAGTTTTCCAGCGTGTAGCCTACATACAAAGCATGTATTATGCATTTAGGACAGCTAGGGAGCTAATTAAGTTTAAATCCTGGAGACTCAGCCGCTGCTGCTGATGCTCCACTTACAGTAATGCAAAGACATCCACCTAAACACACGTTATGATCATTGATAATGTTACTAACCAAGCTGGGACTGTATATATATTCAAAATGATCTATTATTCTCACATAATAACCAAGTGTCTCGCAGACC